GTAGGGAAGAGCAAGAGAAGGGTTTGTTTCTTTTTTGTTTTGACTAAGACCTACCCAGAGCACTGAAAAAGGAAAAAACCAAACCACTGATTAGGTGTGAGAAGAAAGTGAGAGTGCTGCCAGGGTGTGCTGTTCATCGCCAGGCTTAAGAAAAAGCCTCCATTTCCTCTATGAAAGCATTCTGATACTTTTTTAAAATAAATACAGCAAAATTTTTGCTCCTCCTAATTGTTCAAAGTGTTTGCCTTAGCTGGAAATCGGAAACCTGGAGAAAACTCGATCAATAATGGCAGAGGAGCTGGTTAAATTAACAAATCAAAATGATGAACTTGAAGAAAAAGTGAAGGAAATCCCCAAATTCCGGGCACAGTTAAAGGTAAGGGTATTGCTGTTGTAAAAACTTGCTGCAGTTTGCAGTTTTTTAATGCTTGTAGCAGTTGAACTTCAAGATGCTTCAGTACATCCTCTGAAGCCAGCACTGATTCTTGGTAGTCAAGGATCTTTGTCTTTGGAATATTTTCCTTTTATGCCTCTATTTCCTTTTAAATGTAGCCATAAGCAGAGAGTCAAAGCATAAAGTAGCTTTGAAGAGTTCACTTTGTGTAAAGTAGTTACACTTGGATACAACAATGCTGCACTTATTTTCCCTAGTAATGTGAACCACTGTCCTAGAATTCTTTTTTAGAGTTGAAAAACAGTCAGGTAACAAACCACATGTCCTTGCAGGATTTGGATCAAAGATACAACACAATTCTTCAGATGTATGGAGAGAAAGCAGAAGAAGCTGAAGAACTCCGACTGGATCTGGAAGATGTGAAAAACATGTACAAGACTCAGATAGATGAACTTCTAAAACAAAGACAAACTTAACTCCTACTGGAACTCTGAACACTATATGATAACAGATGTAAAGATAATGGTTTATGTAAATGCTGAATTTAAAAGTCTTGTAAAAAGATAACTGTATAATAGAAGATGTGACTATATAATAGAGTTCATATGTTGACAAAAAAATCAATGCTTTAAGTGTCTTGTACTGTCTGCAGTTAAATTATTTGTGCAATATTTAATTTTCTTTTTTCAGTCATCCCTTTATTTAAGCTTTTGATAAAGGATGGACCATTTTACTTGTAAACTGTAGCAGAAATGATGATTGTTACCTCATGAGACAGCACTGGAAGGCATTTTTCGTAAAGTAGCCCTTGATCCATGACCTCTGTATACCTATGGAAATGACATTAGAAGTCTTTCTTAAAGTGTTCTTAGTAAGAGTCTCTTCAAAATCTCAGCAGTGAAATTTTAATAACAAAATAGCAGTGGCTTGCTGTCTGAGGCACAGTTGTTGGGTATTTTTATGACAGGAAAATCCCATATTTATAGTCACAACATCTGAACATGTTAGGATGGTAATTCTCAGTTCTTAGACAAACCAGATCAGTCTGACTGTTTTGTACTAAGTCCTCTAAAGCAGAGTGATGTTCACATGAAGCCTTAAAAATTACAGCTTCATCTTTTATCTTGTGTTGTGTCACGAGCCATCTAGAGAGAGCAGCTCTGCTTGTAATTCTAAAACTGTTTAACACCAGAAATCTGAACTAATCATTATTTGTTCTAGAGTTGGATGCTGATTTTTAATAGTTCAGAAGAATGCAGAAAAATCATTATTTTTTTTTTACTAATTGTTGCTGCTCTCCTAGTTCTTTTTCTATAAGTAACAAGGTTTAGAGTCTTTGCCAAATGGTGCTGTGGCTTAATATAGTTTTCAAACAAGTCTGCAGTGGCTGCAGAGTATTTCCCATGCCATTCCTTGAGCAAGGTATTGGTCAAATAGCATCCACGTGGCTTGACATTTAGCCACATTCTCAGTAATGTCAGAGGAAACATTTGAATGGGACCCTTGGGAATGCTGAGAATCGAGGGAAGCTTGTGTTTTCCTCTCTGCATTCCAGCCAGAAAATATTTTGCTGCATCTCAGAACTGTAGCTGTGCAGGCTGTGAAATAGTTGAAATTCTTTGCTTATCATACCACTGCCTGTTTTGAGGGGTTTCTCCACAGCTCTGTGCACTGTACTTTGTGTTAGAGAGCTCTGCTCCTGCTTGTGTATTCACTGGCCTGAGAGAGACAGGGTGTGAGTGATGAGAATTTGCTTCTGCAGAAAAGCCTCTCAGTAATACAACTTTTCTATGGGTGTTAAGGATTTATTCCTTAGTGGGAGAACAGTTGGTCACTGCAGGTACACAGGGGAGGGGATGTTGGTGGAAAAGCCTTGCTCAGTTTGAGATTCAGGAAGTTACTCTGAGGGTTTCAATAAAGCCATAGAGCACAAACACTAAAATTAATCTTTAACTCCACTACTGTCTTAGAAAATTTAACTACTTTAATAAAATAAAAAACTTTTTTTTTCCTTTTAATTTTTTTTTTTCATGGAGAGTTGGAAAGAAACTGCCCTCTTGCTGTCTTTGTTTCCATTCATCTTCTAAAAAGATCAGAGTTGAACGCTTTGCCTTGAAGCACGGTTGGTTGCTCGTAAGTTTTTAAAATAGCCCCCCAAAAAACCCAAAGCACTTGGAACTTACTGATTTGCTGTGTCAGCTTGAGCTGACATTGGCCAGAGATGTCAAAAACTTCAAGAAAGGGTTCTTCAGATACATTAACCACAAGCAGAAACAGGAATAACATTGGCCCACTATTGAACAGGAGAGGTCAACTGGTCACCAACAGTGCTGAAAAGGCAGAGGTCCTCACCACCTTCTTCACCTCTGGCTGTACCAGTGCTGCTGGGTCCCAGCCCACGGGAGCAAAAGTCCAGGTTGATGCAGACACCCACCTGCCAGCAGTGAAGGAAGAGCTGGTGTGTCAAGTGTTACAGGAGCTGGACCTGCACAAATTGATGGGCCTGGATGTCATCCACCCTGGGGTGTTGACTGAGCTGCTGACATCATTGCAAAGCTGCTCTCCATAATCTTTGAGGAGTTGTGGAGGTCAGAAGTCTTATGGAACAAACAAGGGGAAATGGGCACAAGTTGCTCCTGGGGAGATTAGACTCTTGCAAATCTTACATGCTTGTTCTGCAGAAACACCAAGTCTGCTTGGGCACCTGAAGTTCATTGCTGATATTTAATCATAGCATCATTTCAGTTGGAAAAGACCTTTAAGATCATCAAGTCCAACCATTTGAGACAGCCTAGAAAAGGAACATGCAGAATGAAAGGACTTAGGTCAGAACACTGACGTCGACTTCTGTTTAAATTGATTATTTTAGAATATTCCTTCTGAAAGCAACTTAATTGACACCTCATTTCCACTGCAGATGCAAAACTGCTGCTTCAGGGCTTCCTCAGAGGGGCCGTGTTTGCCAGGGTCAGTTCATGGGGGTGGGTTTGGATGAGGTGGGGTTGGATGGGCTGGGGTTGGATGGGCTGGGGGTTGGATGGGCTGGGTTGGCTGAGGTGCAGCCTGTGCTGGTCCCCGCGTTGCATCCCTCACCAACACCGCAGAGATGTCCAACATCCCAGGTGTCCATACGTGGCAGAGAGTTCGTCCTGTTCGCTCTTTACCCTGCGGCGCTTGTCAAAGCAGGAATCGAGTCAAAAAACACCCTGAAGGTCGCGGGGAGCTGCCGGGA